CAACTAGCCTACAAGGAAAGGGAACCGGGCCTTCAAACTTGTTTGGTTCGCTAAAATCAAATGGCTCCTCATTTTGTTCTTGAACCTTCTTCTCAACCACATCATCTACAACCTTGTCCTCCTTGCAAGTTTCGGGTTGATAAGTATGTGAAGGGTTAGTAGATGATTGTAAGGGGAGCTTTGTTGTTAAATGGAGAGAAGAAGTTTTGGCTAGTTGGGAATCAACAACTTCATTGTAAGATTTGATTTCTTGGAATTGTGGAGTGATAGCTTGACGTTGTTGAAGAATTTTGGGTTTGTGTGTGGTCGGGTGGGGATTTTTCTTCATACTCTTGAGGACATAGGTCATGATTTTTATCTTGAGAGTTCTCTACTTGGTTGGAAAGGTAGGAAAAGTTTTGGGTTGGTGGATTGAAGAGAGGTCCATCTTGGGGGTAGGTGTTTTCTTGCCTTGGAGGTTGTTGAAATTGTTGGGATTGAGATTGGGTTACAAACTCTTTTTCACTCAAAGTCAAAACTTCACCATGCTTGAGATTGAACTCTCTACAATAGGATGCATCATGATCCTTCCCACCACAACGAGCACATGAGAAATCAATGATTTGTGAAGGTTTTGAACACAAACCAACACTTGAGTTTAACTTTGAAAGAGCTTCATTCAAGAGCTCAACTATGTGCTTAAGTTGGTCGACTTTCTCCAACTCATAAAGATCCCTTTGCTTCCCTCGGGACCTCCTTTGGCCTCCCCAAGAATAGCTAGTAGCCACTTCTTCAATTGTAGCTTCAGCTTGGCTTTGAGGGATCTTAATCAATTTGCCACCGGCACCCGCATCTAGATTGGTCCTTGACATTGGCTCCAAGCCAACATAGAAGAATCTCTTGAGCAAATTACGGTTGAATTCATGATGAGGACATGCTCTAATCAAATCCTTAAACCTTTCCCACGCTTCCCCAAGAGTTTCATCCGGTTCTTGCTTAAAGGAAGCTATCTTCCTCCTCACCTTTGCGGTTTGCTCATCGGAAATGAACCTCTTAAGAAAGGCCTTTGCAACTTCCTTCCATGTGGTGAGATAGTTGGGCTTCAAAATCTTGAGACATTTCTTTGCTCTTCCGATGAGATATTGCCGAAAGAGATGCATACGAATGTAATCTTGGCTCACTTCATTTGTTTGCATCATTGCACACAACTCAAGGAATCGGTCCAAATGCTCAATGGGGTCTTCACTTACGCCTCCGGAAAATTGCTCAATTTACACCATCCTATCATATTGTGGATGGATTGTGAAATTATTCTCGATGTTCGGGAGAAGTATACCATTCGTGAGCTCATAGATTTCTGGGTTTCCAAACTCCCTAAATAGAAGGTCATCCTCTTGTCTTGCCATATCTCTCTTTGAATACAACAAAGCTAATCACACGATTAGCAATGACAAGTAGGATTAAGCAAGCAAAATGAAAGAAAGGAAATCAAATAAAATGACTCTAACAATAGCAAAAATAAATGTTAAACAAGCCGCTTCCCCGGCAATGGCACCAAAATTTGATCGCGGGTTAAATAGGATGTTATGCTACCACCCTAACCAAATTAATCATTTATATTACCTAAACCTACACTTAACTAGTTAGTGGCAAGTAAAGGGTCGAACCACTAGGGAAGCACTCTAATTCAACATCAAATATCACTAATGCAAGAGTGAAAAGGGGATTGTTTTTGTTGGTGTTGTTGAGTAGAACACTAAAACTATAAGTAAGCAAGAAAATGATGATTTAAATCAATAGAAAATGAGGTTAGGGATACAAGGGTGTCCAATATGATTAGAAAGAGGAGAATAATGGTGATTATCATGAAACATATGCCAAAGAACACAAGATTCTACCTAAACAATTCATTCTCATGCAATAGTCTAGGAAAATTAATGAAAGAGGTCTACACTAAAAAGGATCATTCTCATGCATCCTATTAGTTACAATCAAATCAAGAGAATAAAGAAGCACAATCCATAAAACTCCAATTTAATAACTCATTCTCATGTAATCATTAAAATAGAGGTGATCCTAATCTAGTTCAAATCACTTTCATGCATTTAAACTAGAAAACAGCAAATAGAGTGCAACAATTATCCCAAGCTAATAAAAATCATGTCTTTCATCAATATATGGCATAAGTTCAATCCAACCATCATCATTCATCCAATATCAAATTATATCTTCCACCCCTTTCCCCTAGCTAAAAATTTAGCCTGGAGAAGGGAGATTAAACATAATATCAATACTAGAAATAAACTCAAGAAACTCAAAACAAAACATAATTAAAATCAATGAAATCAATAATAACAACTAGATGAACTAATAAGATTAACAAGAATAAACAACAATAAAACAAATAAATAAAACTAAAGGAAAGGAGAAGAGATTACTAAAGAAAGGATTAATGAAAGATGAAAACTTGAATTCTTGCTTGATTGAAACTTAAACTTGAGCAAAATTGAATCTTGGAAGAAAATTGAGCCATAATCTATTTTCTCTCACTAAAAATTATCTAATCTAACCCTAAGAGAGAGAAACTCTCCTAAACTAATTTAATCTATCTAAAATAAAATGTTGATTGAAAGTTTTCTTTGAAAATAACCCTAAAAGGGGTATTTATAATACAAGGCTTAAAATAAAACAAAAGAAAATAAAATGAAAATAAAACTAAATAAAATAATTAAAATAACAAAACTAAAAACCAAAAAAGAACAAAACTACAATAAAATAAAAAATAAAAGAAAAATGAAATGGGAAAAAGAAATCCCAAAACCCACAATTCCAACCAAACCCCACGAATCATCAGACCTCCTTTCTCCCTTCACTTTCGAATTTGGCTGCTCCAATTCAAAAACCATTCACGCATCAATATCACCGTTCATACTCCATCATCATCAGAAATTATCACTCAATCACCACCGTTCATCAACCACAATCATCTAGCATCACCAGATTCTCGGCCTTTGGATTAATTGAAGGAATCGTGGCCGTCCGATTTTCATTAAAATCACATGGAAAGCTCATGATTTACCCACAATTGCTCGCCGCGCAGAAGTCGCGCATTGGTCGCGCATAACTTACTGCCTACAATCTGTTTTGAAGTCCAATTTGCGCGCTTTCTGACAGTGCTGCGCGGTCGCGAATTGTCTTGGTTGTGAGTTTGGGTGTTGGGCGAATTGCGGCTGCAATTGTTGAGTAATTGGGTTGGAGATTGGTGGTCGATTGTGTGTGAAGGGCTGGTGGTTGTTAATTGGTTCAGTTGCGTGGTTCAGGTGGATTAAATGGGGGAATTGGATGTTGCGGGGTGTTGGTGGTGATTTTGGTGGCTGGTGGAAGGTGCGGTTTATGGGAGCAGGGGAGCGGTTGATGGTGGAGGTTCGCAGGTGGTTGCGGTTTTGTGTGATGAAAGTGGTGGAACAGGGAGGCTGAGATTGGTGGCGAAATGGGAGGCGCAACAAGTGAATTGGAGTTGAGGTGCTGGTGCGGTTGTGGTGGGTTGCTGGGGCTGGTTTGGTTGGTTGATTGGTGGGCTGAATTGGGGTTATTGGTGGCAGCGGTGGTGTGCTGTGAGGATGCGGTGGCTGGTGGTGTCGGATTGCTGGGTGGTTGTTGATGGTGAGTGTGAATTGGAGCAGGGGAGCAGTAACGTAGAGGGAGCACGGGATTTTGGTGTTTTGGTGCGGTGGAGGTTAAGGTGAGGTGTGGTGAAGGGTAAGAGGGCAGATTAAAGGGGCAGCAGGTTGTTTATGCAAGGAGTATTGTGCAATTGCCTCAAATCTCGGACCCCGAACACGAATATCACTTTGAAACCCGGAACGCCTACAACCAAAATCACGAGGGTATTACCACGAGATAAAATAGAATAAGATAAAGATAAAATAAAATAAAATAACTTAAAAATAAAATCAATAGAAATAAAATAAAATAAAATAAAATAAAATAAAATAAATATGAAAATAAAATAAAATAAGAAAATGAGAGAAACTAGGAATTATTAACTAAAAATACGAAAATAAAGTAAAAACTATTAAAAACTACTAAAATACTCAAAATAAAGATAAAAGACAAGAATAAGCAAATAAAAGAAATAAAGAACAAAATGGGCTAAATTATTGTAAAATAAGCCGGAAAGCGACTCAATAAACACCCTAAAAGTGACATAAAAGTCACTTATCAAGGACATTATTCTTTTCAGTAACATCACACAGAGGATTCCAAACTAGAACCCTTTCTTTAGTTAACAATCTATTATGCAAAACAAGTAACAGAATGAAAACACTTTTTGGGGATGTTGTATTATTGCAGACAAGTCTCTTCCAGTCAGTCTTTGGATCCTGAGGTCTCAATAAGTTGTAAAGCTTCTTTATTTTCGTACAAGCCTCATGCTTCACTCTATCCCGACCCCCAATGCTATTAATAACTTGCCTACACTTCAAGATCCTTTTCAACACCCATTAGCTCTTTTGAGGCACATGAGCATCCCAAACATTCTTGTTGTTGAAATAGTAACTATATACCCATTTCACCCACAAAGAGTCAGCTTTGTGGCTAATATCCCATAAAAGTTTAGTGATAGATATGATATATTCCACTCAGGGAGAGAGATAACATTCCACCCACCACTAACTTTGGGAAGACAAACTGTATTCCAAGCAACCAATGCTTTCTTTGAAGGATTGACTTCCCAGTCCATAGAAAAGCCCTAAACCTAGCCTCAATCTCTTTCAAAATTTTCTTAGGCAACACAATGATTTGAGACCATTAGGTTTGAACCCTATAAAGAAAACTCTTAACCAATTAGAGCCTAGCAACATATGAGAGATGAGTAGCAGCCCAACTACTGATTCTAGAAGTAACTCTATCAACTAATGGCTTACACTGACTGGTAGTGAGCTTTTCTAAAGATAGGGGAACCCCTAGTACCTAAAAGGGATATTACCTAGAGAAACCCCAAGAACAGAAAGAAGAGCAGCCTAATCATCAGAAGAAACCCCATCAAAATAAGCTTCACTCTTGTCCAAGTTTGGAGACAAACCAGAATCCTCAAAGAACTTAGAGAAATCCTGAAACAATAGCTGAACATAAACTTTATCAGCTCAAGAGAACATGAGCAGGTCATCAGAAAACATGAGGTGAGTAAGCTGCGTCTTTTCACATCTAGGGTGATAGTTAAAATAAGGAATCTCATGGAGCTCATGTAAAGACCTTGACAAATACTCCATTCCAATAGCAAAAAGAAAAGGAGACATAGGATCACCTTGTTTAAGCCCTTTCTTTAAAGGGAAAGGAGGGGAAGGAACCCCATTAATAAGGATAGAGAAGGAGACTGTAGAAAGACAGTTCATTATCCAATTAACAAAGATACCAGGGAACCCTAACTCATTAATAACCTTCCTGAGATAACTCCATTCAATAGAGTCATATGCCTTTTTATGGTCCACCTTGACCATACATCTAGAGGTGATAAACTTATTAGTATACCCTTTAATGAGCTCAGTAGCAAGAAAAATATTGTCACAAATATGTTTCCTAGGAATGAAACCAGCTTTAGCATCATCCACCACCTCTCCAACAACCCTAGCTAGCCTAGCTGTTAAGATTTTAGATATAATCTTGTAAAGAATAGAACAACAAGCTATAGGCCTAAAATCCTTAGTATATGAAGGATTTTGCACCTTAGGCACTAAGGTGACAGTTGTTCAATTCCATTCTCTCTTAATAGTACCAGTATCAAAGAACTCCAGAATAGCAGCATACACATCATATTTCACAATATGCCAAGCTTTCTGAAAAAAGGAGTTAAATCTATCAATTCCAGGAGCTTTTGATGTGTCAATTCCTTTTAAAGTTGTATCAATCTCAGCTGTAGTAATAGGAGCTATTAGAGTTTGTTGAGACTCCTTAGAAAGCTGCTTCCCTTTTCTCAAAGTAACAAGATCAACTGCAGGCAGAGAAGGGGCCCTATACCTCATAAGATTCTTATAAAACCCAGTAATCTCTTGTTTAATCTCATCATGCTTCTTTAAAAGCACCTGACTCTAATTGAATATATAATCCATTATGTTTATGTTATTCCTAGTCTTCATAACAGAAAAGATATAGTGAGTGTTAGAGTCACCCAATTTGATCTAGTTTACCCTTGATTTTTTCTTATAAATATTCTCCTGTATATTCCCCCAATACTTGATCTTCTGAATACACTCAGCTTCCTCAAGAATCAAGAAAGGATCATAGTTACTAGCAAGAAAATTCTGAACTGTAAGAAGATAATTATGAGCATTATTAATCCTTGAATCGATATTGCTAAAATGTTCAGTATTTAACTTTTTCATCTGCTCCTTGACCAATTTCAGCTTAGTCCATATGCACTTCATAGCCCCACTAGAATAAATTGTCTGCCAACCAGCTTGAACAGAAGAATTAATTTTTTTATGAGAGGTAAGACAATTCAAGAATCTGAATGTTCTAGCTTTACCAGGAAAATAAGGAAATACCTCAAAAAGAAGAGGGGTATGATCAGAAAGAGAAGGAGGTAAATAAATATCCTCAACATGCCCATATTGATCAATCCACGCTTGATTAACCAGGCCTCTATCAATCCTGGTGCAGGTCATAGACCCAACATGAGCCTTATTAGACCAAAAGAAAGGCAATCCTTTACTCTTAATCTCAGCCATCTCCATGTCATCAATGAAATGCTAAAAATCCCTCACTTCATAATCAGTTACAGCATTACCATGAATCCTGTCTTCAGAATGCAGAACATAGTTGAAATCTCCTATACATAACCAAGGGAGAGTTGCACTACAACAAATTGACCTTTGTGCCACGTGTAAAATCGTGGCACAAGTTTAAAATTCCCGTGGCCATGAAATATAGCCACGGGAATTTTGAATTTTACTCCCGTGACACAAGAGGCCGTGGCTAGGATATTTGCCACGGGAAAATAGATGTCATGGCAAGTTTTGAATTTTATACCACGGGTGGCCCGTGGCAAACTAATTATTTTCGCCACGAATATTAACGTGGCTGAAAAGTACTTTGCCACGAATTTTATCGTGGCTAATAAATTTTGTTGCCACAAACATTACCGTGGCTAATAAGCTTTTTTTCCACATAATATACCGTGGCTAATAAACTTTGTCACCGCACATATTACCGTGCCTAGTTAATTATATTACCGTGACTAATTAATTTCTTTGCCAGGATTAATACTGTGGCAAATAAATCTATTGCCACATTACTATTGTAGTTCATTGCCACGTTACTATCCGTAGCTACTAAATTCAATAGGATTAAGCTTTTTTTGTAGAATTAACAGTACAAGCATAGCTAAATATTAAAAAGGGAATTTTTCTCAAACATAACATTTTTCATTGCTGAAATAGATATAATCACAGCATCCCATACATTCAAACATATTAGAATTCGGCAACCGTTACAAACATAATTGAAATAATCTTTTTGTTAAAGACCAATAAATACATATTCGTCCCCCCCCCCCCCAAAAAAAAAAAAAAAAAAAAAAAAACTCTTATAGCATGCGACAATGCTCCTTCGCGCCTTTTTACCTACAATACATAAATATATAATCAAGTCTATAAAACGAAAATGTCAAATTGACAACATTCAAATCTTATTGAAATTGAATATAAAAGAAGCTTGACTGTAAATATAAAGTAGCACAAGAGGAAAAATTTATTGTAACTATTGTATAACAGAGTTCCAAGAATGAAGCATCGATGACCTATAAATATTAACGACTTAACAATAATAAAAAGTTCAAGTTGATTAATCATACTGATGTCCATGTAAAAATTCACCAACTCGAGAACACTTCCCACCATTTTTTTTCCTCTAAAAACATTCAAGAGTTTTTAAAATCATATTTTGTGCCAAGGAAGGGGTCAAGTTTGTGCAAGCTGACGCCGAGGGGGTGTGTGCAGGAGGGTAGGCAGGTGTATACAAGAAGGTGGCAGGAGTGTGTGGTGCTGGTGTGCAGGGAGGCTGGTGTGCGTGCATGGAGGCTGGTGTGGTGCGTACCAAAACATCTCCTGGAAGCAATAGAACATCACAGACAATACAGGGAAGCAGGGAACTACACCTTACAAAATTAAAAAGTTCTATAGGCTGCTTCTTCAGTTGTTCATTTTAGGAAGTTACCATTTATGCTATTACCTAACTTCAGGTTCAGGTAAAATCAAGTATCATGTCAAAAGCAAGTCAACTCTACTTTGGGTCAGGTTGGGTTTCGGTTCAGTTACATCAGCTTTCAAGTTAAGTTTTGGGTCACTGTTTTGGATCCAGATTATGAATTGGGTCTGGGTTGATTTTTCCAAGCCTGGACGGCTACAGACCTCACCTCCTTAACTAGAACTATCAGTCAAAGCCCTTAGAGGTAAAAGATACAATCTAAAACAAAATTACTCCAAGCACACAGCAATGTCTCAATAAGTTAACCCACATTGAGCTAACAGATAAAACCCTACCAATAATGGACTAGATTCTAAACATGAAGTAAGAAAGAATTCAGTTTGCCAAAAACTACAATTAGTTACAGAATGAACCTTGCAGGTTGGGCAAGTTGGAGAAGGTTCACCTTCCATTTCAATCAAAATGTGCAAATTATGTGAAACACTGATTTCATGCTTTCCTTTCAATAGCTTCTATCACTATTCTAGAGTAATCTTCACAAATCATGTGCCTATAGACTTCTAATCCGGCACTTACTACAGCACCTGACTCTGCATCTAAACAATTACCTCCCCCCCCCCCCCCCCCACAACCCCCACCCCCTTTTAGATGAAGAAAATAATTTTTTTTAAGCAAGCAAAAAGAATTCTGATTGTCTACTATGTGTATGCAGAATATGTTTTCCAGGGATTCATTTGTGAAAACAATGCATCATCAGTGGATGTCATAGCTGGCTAGGCAAAGCACACAAGCTGAAGTTGTCAAAGATTTACAGGATGTGGTTCCTTGTGCAGAAGGCTAGCCTTGGTGTAAATTACGGTGGCTTATGACATCTAAAAGATTTTGGCAGTTTTTTTTAGTTGTGTGAATGTAAATTATCTTAATTATGGAAGGATGGTGAAGATCTGTATTCAGATTCTATTATGAAATATATTTTATAAGTCTGAAAATTTTGGATGGGGAAAAATCAATGCACACATATACGAATCCAGCCATCCATGCAAGGACAAAATAGTCTTTTCCTTTCTTATCTTATACTCAAAAACCAATGAACCCAAAACTAAGTATGCTAAGCTCAAACAGTATTTACATCAGCAGAAATGATTCTGAATGAAGAATTAGTATTCTTGGTTGTGGGAATGAATAAAATGATGAATACAGATAAGAAAATGAGTATTAAATCACTAGAGAGGGGCGGGATATATCCAAGCAAGGGGGGGAAGGGGGGAGCCAGTGGAATGTGTGCAAGTAGTGGGCAGGGCTAGTGTGCACATAATGTAGCCATTAAAATATAAAATGCTAGGATAAAAAATTAAATGTAAAAAGTTACATACAAATTTCTTGTCTAGTGCGACCGAAGCGTTTAGTGCCGTTGTAGTGAGGCATCTCCTGATGAGTCCTACTTTCACTTGCTTTTTCATTCTTCTCCTATAGTAAAAATGATTTAATTAATTAGATGTGTTATCTACATAACAATAAACATATAATAATGGTGTATATTATTACCATAACTGTTTCATCACTCCAATAGTCAACAAAGAACTTCCATTCAATTTTAGTCAAATGACTAGGCTTATTTTTGAGACATTCATCTTTTGTCTTTAACTCTTTATAAAATCCTTTGAATTCAATTTGTTCCTTGCAACTCTAAATAGAGCTTGTGCATGTTTGTTTTACAATACTCTCCCGCCTATTTTCATGATCATCAAATGACCAGTTCTCAAGCAAAAGATAAAAATTAGAAAATTAATGCTCAAAGGGAAATTGGCAATGTTTACTAATGAATAAGTGAAAGAAAAAGCCTAATAAACAAGTTTATTATGATAACATATTACCGTGATGTAAGCAGGCTCACACACACACACAAGAAGAATAACACACACACACACACACACACACACACACACACACATATATATATATATATATATATATATATATATATATATATATATATATATATATAACAAGCAGGCTCACAGCAGCGGATCACAGTGCAGCAGCTGGCAGCAGGTTGCACCGGCAGTGTATGCATGTAGTGAATACTATATAGTACACGAGCAGAAAATCAAACATGGATTTCTACATTCACAGCTACTCTTAGATATCATGTGCAATTAGCATGGAGACTATCACTAAAATGTCAATCAAAGGCTGCAACTAATTGTACTCATCAATTTTCAATTTTCATATCACTAGTCTAGCTTTCTAAGGTACAAAGTCATTTACCAATATTTAACTATCAAGTAATTCAAACACTTTTCTCTCACTAAGACCACCAAAGAGAAAGAAGGAACAACTCAACAAAGGTGAAAAATTGGAACATCATATGAAACTAAAATGGCCTAATGGCCACCAAGACTGTCAAATAGATAATAATTAAAGAGAATCAGAAATTCAAACACTGCAGGCTACCAATACCCCTATCCTTAGTGGAGTATTAATGTTGTTTTTCTGCTTTCACTCAAGCTGCCTCCTGGCATTGTCTTCAAAAGCTGCGCTTCCTCCACCGTGAATACACTTGTAGTATTACACCCCAAAAAAGCAAATAATGTATCAGAAAATTGAACAAATTTAACCCAAAAATAAAATTAATTACCGTACAAATACCAAATTAATTAAACTAAATCAGCTAAGGAACCATCTCGAAATTAAGAAAATAAAATTAACCCAAATCAACTGAGCCATACAAAATTCACGACATTGTTCAAAGTTAGTTTTTGCATGTGAGTTACTACTTGAATCACTTAGATCCATATCATAACCAGCAAAGTAGTATACACTTATTAGATAACAAAAAGCCACAAGCCATAGCATCAAATAACCATGTTACAAGCTTCACAGAGATAGCATCGGCAGCTCTTTGGATCAATCAACAACCAAAAAAATGCACGAAAGTAGCAACAAACTATGGCAGTCTTAGCTTTAAAGCCAGACAAGAAGGCCGACATCACAAAGTTAATAATCATGTCTAAGCAAGAACATCTAACTTGCTCCTAAATTCTTGAAGTAGAAAAAATCATGAAGTAATGTGTCTTCATTCTGGTGGCCTAAATCACTTTGCCTACTCTGGGCACTAGTTCAGATAGGAAGGACAACATTCCCCTGCACCTGCCACTTCACTGCACCTGCACCCTCCCAACTTCTTCCCCTTCCCTGCATCTGCCATTCTGCCCCCCCCCCCCCACCATACAACCGCCCCATAAAATGCAACCCCTCCCCACATACATCACCCACCAGTCCACCACACAACCTTATTATAATGCTTTAAATTGAATACACTTTAATCATTAAAATATAATTAGTTTTTTTTAGAGAGATTATATTTTCTAATAATTAATTTGTTTACGAGAACACAATAAAAAAAATGAAAATGAAACGCATGCAAACAGTTATCAGAAAAAAAGAGATTATATTATACACAGAAATAAAATCAAAGTAATTACTTTTTACAGAAATTAACCTTTTTTTTTGAGAGATTACAGAAATGAAATTAATTACATGAAATTAGGCAAGATGCTATACAAAATAACTGAAATGAAAGATAAATAATTAGACAATAAAAGAACTTGCAAAAAATACTGAGATTAAAGTAGAAAGTATTAATTGATTATAAGAAAAATCAGATTATAAGAAACTGAATCAGAATAATGAAAATCCAAATTGCAAAAAAGAAATCAAGCAGCAAGAGTCAGTAAATAGATCTTACCTTGAAATTTTGTTGAACATGTGATCTTGCGAGTATAATCGACTCTTAGAATTAGGGATTCTCGGATTTTCGAACGGAAATCCTTCTGCAACGAGGGTTTTTGTTTTGAGGCAAAATTAGTGGATTTTTCTTATTTTGTTTTTTCTTTTTCTTATAATCAAATTGGCGGCTAATGATTTTTTGTGCTAAAAATTTTGAGTTTTTTTTAATAAACCGCCTAATAGCCAGCTCTACTAGAGAAGTAAATTTTGTTTGTTTTTTTTTTTTTTTTTTTTTTTTAGAGGAATGATGATCAATTGATCGTTTTTAGGGGTCAATTCGGGTCAACGGTTCAATTTTGGGTTACATTTTGTCGGTTTTATGTAATAATGGATTTGGTTATAGAGGGGTCAAAGAGCTAATACGTTGGTTCGGGTCGTTTTTTAAAGTTACCGGGTCATCAGTTCAGTTTGTTTATATTTATTACGGGTTTTATTCCAATCGAGTCTAAAACAGGTCAATTCATTTTTAATCAATTAAGTCAAATCAGTTAGAGTTATTCTTATGATCCGATTCGGTTTGATTCATTCATCAACAAGATGTTGAGTTAAAATTAGGGTCGAATAAGTAACAAGTCAGGATTAATTTGGGTTTCAATGTGTTAGAACGAGTTTGTGTGATTCTCATATTTGGGTCAGGTTCTGGTCATTATTTTCTTGAGTTCAAATATACTTAGTCATGATGATTAAGTTCGTTCTGTTAAAATATTCGGGTCGGGTCAACTAACTTTTGACTACTCTATATATAACTAATGTAAGATTTTGTTACATTAGAAACAAAGTTAATATAATTTGAATCTTGAGTTGATAGAAACAAGAACTATATGTATTGGAACAAGTAGAAACATAATTGTGTTTTATTACATTTAATAATCAATGAAACTTGCATGCATATTTATGTAACCTAATTAATACTATATGTTGTCTTGACAGTAACTTAATTATTATTATGAAGAAATTAGTACAATAACAACCGATTCTTATAATATCTTATTGTTTTCTCAAATGAATATATTGTGGTTTACCTAAGATTTTAAGAATTATACATATACTTTCCTTCAAATTTGAAATAGATGGAGTTATTTATATCATTTTCCTTAATTATTTACACTATCTACTACTCTAATTTTTATTTTTATTTTGACAAGTACTCTAATTTAATGTGGTTGTGTAAAATTATAGGCGATAATGTATAAATATGTAATTGCTGATCACTTATCGATCAGAAAAGTAAGCTAAGTGTTGAAAACATGCGTTATGAAATAAGGTTATAAAGACATGTAAGAACAATATCGTTTGATTATAACTATTATTACATAATTTTATCATTTTATTGTTAAAAACATGTAACAACAATATAATTTTATTAAAAATACTATCTTAACGATCTTAAATAAAATGATTAGAAATATATTATTTTATTGTTAAAACATGTTTGAATCGAGTCATTTTAACACGTTACTTGATTAACAAGACCCCTTTAGCCACCGCATAGAGTATAAAGCTCAATCAATATGATCTCAAATTAAACCTGCATTAACCTAAGAAAACCCGCTCCAAAATCGATGTGTTCAAACCAACTTGATTTAAACTCGAGTCATTTCTAATGCGGATTGTTTATAACCTAAAACGAATACATATCGTACAAAAACAAAATTGAATCCGAACGAACCTTTTTCTAATCACAACCGAATTGACTCCACTTATAAGCTAAATGAACTAGGTTCAACCCTAAGTTTGAACATTTTTACTTTTTTGACCCGATCCGAACAAAATTATTTCTTAAAAATTTTCAAACCGAATTACTAATTCAGTTTGGCTCAATTTTATTCGAATTACCTATAGCAAATTGTTATACACGATCTTCAATTATATTTACTCATGTTATTACATAATATTATTATGTAATAATTGTTATACACGATATTAATTTATATTTATTTAGTGGAAAATCGAATATAAAATTACAATTTTACACATAAGTGAATTAAATAATAATAATAATAATAATCATCTATCAAATATTAATAATAATAATTAAATAATAATAATAATAATAATAATAATCATCTATCAAATATTATATTTTACAAATATACTCATACAAGTAAAAATTTCGTGGGAAACTCCTCCCTCTAATTAACCTACTTAAAATTTCGTGGGAAACTCCTCTCTCTAAGAGCAATATTCTGCTGATAAACTCCCTCCAAGGCACATCTAAGCTCCAGAGAACTTAATAAGGTTAACAAAAGCTTCTTGGTGATATTGCTCTGGAATAACGATACTGCTTCACCACTCGACCACCGCTCCTACCGCCGCACTACTGCATCTCCGCACCACCGCACTGTTGCCCTACCACTGCATCATCCAAGTAGGCTTTCTATCTTTTCTTATTCTACAATAATTTGATTCAGGTGAAATTGTCAATCTAATTCTGATATATTTGTTAATTCATTCGGATTATTTAATTAATTTGCAGATATAATTCATTCAGTATTCTTGAATTACAATAATTTGATTTGAATTTTAGGTATAATAAAATTTTGAAATTTTGGTTTTAGGGAAATAGAGCTTCGATTTTTCCAGATTGTGGGGTTTTGGATCAATTTAGAGATTACGGCATGGTCTGATTCTTATAAATTAATAGAATTTTAATTTAATCACATCGAGTTATGTCTTAATGAATGTCAACTTTCATAAATAACATCTATTGGATGCCAGAAAACAATTTCTTATAACAATTTGTGGTCAACTACTAAATTGAAAGAAATAAAAAATTGATATCTTTTACAATGTTTCTATTTTCCGGAGTTAATAGAATTATAGAACTATATAATCATTGTTGTGTTGTTAGTTTTTGCTGTTGTCAAACATGGCATTTTTGCTTTTATGTGAATTTCATGGCTATAAACCTGTGACAACATCAAAGTTTGTTTGACGAGAAGAATTTTATATACTCTTGTAATTGAGGAATGGAGTAATTGGTTTGTAAGTTGCAACCGATGGTTAGGTGATCATCTAGATCGAGCTAAACCAAGTGTGTCATCTGGTTGTGGATATGTCGTAACTTGAAAGTAATTTGGACTTAAGTATTCTGTGATTTTTGCCTCTCTTTCTCACACACTTCTTCTCTCCTTGGAGATCTCTGCTACAATGGCTACTCAGATGAGCAAGAACTGGAAGTTCGGTGCTGATGGTGTCATTTACGCTGAACTGAATAAAGTTTTCAGTAGAGAACTCACTGAAGATAGCTACACTGGTGACGGAGTTAGGGCTACTTGTACCCAGAATGTTCTTCGTAATTTACCCCTTTTTTGTGTTTTGGATTCGATCTTTTCAATTCTTTGTTTCTGATTTTGTTATTTTGATTGATTGTATTACGTGAGAAGAGAAGAAGGATTAAGGGGAGCTGACCTCGATTCTGCAGAAGAGAATCAAATTTCTAGAAAACACCATTGAATTTTACGCGGAAAAGGTTAACAATAGGGGACTTTGCACTATTGCTCAATGTGAGTCTCTCCGTTACAAGCTTCTTGGTTTTCCTGTTAGAAGGTGTAAGAATGCATAAAGCTTTTTCTTTTTCATTGACTTTTAATTGGTTTTTTTTATCTGAAACTAATAGGGAATTTTTATGAGATTCGTTTTTAATTTGCTGTTGAGTATTGATTAATTATTTTGGTTGATTGTTATATTGCGATGTGAACAATTTCATAACTTGATTCATTTGAGAAGTGAGTTATGTAAAGTGTGATAAATATATCCTTTAACAATTTTATTGAGTTTATTGTCACTTTTCTATCCACTTAAAGTGACAATAAACTGTTAATTATTTCTGCTAGCATTATCAAGTTAACGGACTACGTTATAACCCCATTCCTCTCTGTTTATTATACATTATACATTAGCTTGCACTAGTAGGCTAGCTCAGTTTCTGTTGGAGTATGTTGGTAACATAAAAATGTGCGAGAGTATCATAAGAAAGAACCAAGTACTTTTAATTTTTATTATAATTTACTAGTGGCCTAGGTTTTTTTGGCCTGACTTTGTTCTGTACACAGGGTGCAAAGAGCACTCGCCTTTTGAAATCAATGAAGACTTACCTTGACTACATCTGAAGCTGAGAAGCATGAAGTATTGAAGTCCAAGATCTTTTCTAACCTTGAGATTTTCATTTTTTGACTTGTAGAAATATCTTCTAACTTTAAGAATAGACCATGTTTGACAGAATAATCCCCCCCTGATCCCAGCACAAAGAGTTAGAAGGTAACCTCGAACTCAGGGGAATGTTAAGCACCCTCTTCACTTCAAAATGCAATAGAACTTTTGAAATTTTTTCCACTTTCTAGCAGCTAGTCGTAGTATCAAATCAGATCACAAACCTTTAAGCCTGCATCATGATTGTCTCTAGGTGAAATTATGCAGCGAGACAGCGTGCCTTGGATCCACTAGTCTGACCAGACAAATGCCTCTACGATTTAAAGGAAAATCTGGAAATTAAATGTCCTTCCGAGGATTAAGTTGGTTGCGTGGAGCGGTTTTCAGAATGCTTTGCTCACTTAATGTGCCATTCAGTCTCGTATTAACAATTATGACCTTGATTGCTTTATTTGCTGCAGGGAGCCTGAGTCTACAATTCATGCGCTCAAAGATTGTGCTCAGGTGAGGGCTATTTTGGGTAAGTCAAGTTATGATTTTGTTTTTATACTGTATGCTGCCAGTGTAGTTGAATGGTGGGAGTCCTGTTTTCTGAAGATGGATGAGTGTGATGTAGCAAACGTTATAGCCATTTGCTAGGCTATTTGTGGTGCTAGGAACTTTCAGATTATGGAGAAGTGTAGGGACTATGGGGAAGTGCTGAGCTATGCTATAAAGACTTATGCAGAAGCTGCCGAAGCTGGAAATTCCAAGTCTGGTTTCTGATGTGCTGCTGCTGTTTGTTTAGGGAAGGCTGCTGTCGGTTGGACAACATATGCAGGTCTCTTAAAGGTTAATGTTGATGCTGACTTTGTAGGTGACTTCGGGTGTGGTTTGGGGGCAGTGATCAGGGATGGTCTTGGTGCTGTTAAGGCTGCAGGGGTCCAGCAGGGCAGTGAGAAGTGGGACGTGAGGATGGCTGAAGCAAAAGCCGTGTGGTGGGGGCAGCAGTTGCTGCGAATATGGGGGCCCAGAATATAGTTGTTGAGGGTAATTGTTTGCAGGTCTTCCAAGCTATGAAGAGCAAAGATATTGGCTATTGTGAATTTTCTGTAATTTTAGGGGGTATTTTGTTATTTTGCAATAACATTTTTAATGTTTCTTGGTTTTTTGTGAAACAAGGTCGCCCCGTTTCAACATAGGGAAGTGGGTTAACATATGTGGTTTGATGTAATTCCCTGTCTTATTCCTGATGTAGCTCTTCTTGATATATCTAATTAACTCCCCTTTGTGGGTTTTATAAAAAAAAAATAAACAAAATACAAAGGAAATGGACCATGTTTTATTGACTCGATATAAATTTGATCTTGATTCTCATTCCTTTATTTCATGTACACATAAGAAGTTGTGGATTGAGAATACATTGAAAAATATAGGAGCAAAGGAAGAAGATATAATCTCAACATCAATTAAGCTTAACAATGCAAACAAGAAAATAAAATTCTTTTGGATTACTATTTGCATATTAAGAACAACATCGAAAAATAAGAAAAGGCTACGTTTTTTTTCATAAAACAGTAGCAAATAGGTAAAAAAT